AGAGAAGACTCCCTGGGAAAGACCTTGATGTTGGGAAAGAGTGAGGGGAAGAGAAGAAGGGGACGACAGAGGATGAGATGGTTGGACAGTGTCATCGAAGCGACTAACATGAATTTGACCCAACTCCGGGAGGCCGTGGAAGACAGGAAGGCCTGGTGTGCTCTGGTCCATGGGGTCACAAAGGGTCGGACATGACTTAACGACTAAACAACAAAAATGAAACAATGCCTCTGTGTCAATAGGCAATACCTCCTGGCATGCGTAAGAGGAGCACTGCACAGAGGCGTCTCCACTCCTGCAACGAATGTGCAAACCGTGCCCCGAATTCCAAGGCCCAATGTGGCAACCTCACCACACCACCCTTCAGCCAGAGCAGTTCGTCAGCTTGGCTTTACTTTCCACATCTAAACTGCTGGTGGCAACACTTTCCTTTGGCTTTACTTTCCACATCTAAACTGCTGATCTAAATCTTAGAACTGCAGAGCTAGAAGGGACCCTACGGATCCTCGAACCCAGACCCTGTCAAAGAGATACCGACTCCCAACCTCTGGCTGGGCAGCCAGAGGCTTAAACTCCGGAGCTATCCAGCAGTTCTTTCATAGGGATTTTGGAAATCAGGGGTTAAACCCTTTTTTCCCCCAAATGCTGATTAATGCTTTTAAAAATACATTGATGAATTTTACACCTGCCATTTTAATAACGTTCTCCTTCAGCAGGCAGCTGTTTTAATTTAATTACTGCTGTATATTCCAAGCGTCGCAACCTGTCTTGACTTCTGATCAAAATGTGGCTTCATGGGCACACAGGCACACGCCAGCAGGACAACTTATATCATCCTACAAGGAGAGGACGAGAAAAGAGAGCTCCAGTGCATAGAAGACAGCTGGAAAAAGCTGCCAGGGTCAGAAGAAACATCCTGCCCTCCATATGATTTCACACTCTGTGAAGTGCTCCGTGGGCCCAAGGAGATGGGTGAGCGGAACAACTGGTTTTAATTTTTAAAAATGCGGTACAAACGGGATGGCTGGATAGCTCAGTGGTTCGGGTTCGGGCATCTGGCTGAGGAGCCAGAGGTAGGGAGTTCGATTCCCCACTGTGCCTGCTTGGCAGGGGCTGGACTGGATGACCTTTAGGGGTCCCTTCCAGTTCTGCTTCTCTATGATTACGCTGGAGTGGTCTGACCCAGACATGGATGGCCAGTGGCAAACCAGAGGTCTTCTCAAACGGCTACGAAATGCACCACGAGGCTTCTGATACACAAGGTCCCACTGCCCCACCCTGGCTATGCTCAGAACTGGGGAAGTCATTATTACACTTAGAAGACTTTCCTCTGACGTTTCATTTTAAAAAGTCAACGGCTGGTTTTGCCAGCAGTTACTAGAACAGGTCCTCTTCAGTTGCTAAAGAAATAACACCTGAACAGAGCAAGCTGTTGGCCTGAGGCCTCTCCCTACCCATATCGACAGAAGCCAGAAACGAAACCCCACAATCTTTCTCCACCCATCAATGTGTGGGGGGCACAACCCTTGACTCTAGAAGTAACTAAAACATTAGGTTCCCCTTGACAATTTGTCCAGTCCTGTCCAATGCTAGGGGGCGGTGCTCATCCCCGTTTCCAAGCCGTAGAGCCAGCGTTTGTCCAAAGACAATCTTCTGTGGTTGCATGGCCAACGCGACTAGACACGGAACGTTGTGACCTTCCCACCGAGGTGGTATCTATTTATCTACTTGCATTTTTACATGCTTTCGAACTGCTAGGTTGGCAGGAGCTGGGACAAGTGACAGGAGCTCCCTCCGTCGTGTGGATTTGATCTTATGACTATAGGTCTTCTGACCTTGCAGCCCAGAGGCTTCTGCGGTTTAACCCACAGCGCCACCACGTCCCGTAACTAAAACATTAATGACAGAGTAAAAGGTGTCTGGCAGGGTGGAACTCTGCTGACTGGCCAGATGGTGGTAAAGCCTCCGGCAAAAAGCATAGTCTACCCTCTGTCAACAAATGGGTTCAAAGAGCAATACTAGGGAGCCATTTGCCCTGATAGTGAGAGGAAATATGGCTGCTGTGTATCCACTTCTTACTGAAGGTTTGGGGTTATGGAGACCCTGCCTTGGCACTGGGTGGATAGTGTACAATGAATGCCAACACATGGCAAATGCCCAGAACATGACACAGCCTGAAAAACCCAACAAGCGTCATCTCCCACTGCCACCGATGCTGGCTACGTGGTCTGTTTTTTGTCTCAACTCTTCTGCCAGATCCCACCGTGCAGACCTTCCTCTGGAGTTGGGTGCCCGTGGCAGTCACCACATGTTCCAAGTCCTGCCCTGCTTGCCAAAAAACCTGGGCTAATTTAGTTAACATTTTGCTTTTGCATTTAAAAAAAATAATTTAAAAACCAAATGATTGAATTTGAGAATTATATTCCAGAGAGGATTGGTAATGGAGCCTACCCCCCCCCCCGCCTCGGGGTTTCGTAATTTCCCCATGTCAATGTTATTATGAATAGGCTAACTCAATAATGAGATCATTCCCCATATGAGAATCCAAATAATTGAAGCCTGCCAGCAGACTTTGTTCCCCCTAAATCTGCTCAAGTCAGACTTCTTCACCCATCTAATTTGGTCTTGGGGGGAGGAAAAAGGGGTGGGGTGGGGTGGGAGACAAAACCCACAGAGTTTCCCTTTCTCTGATGGGTGGATTATTTGAGTCCTGTGCGTAGGTTGGTGTGGGGGGAACAAAGGCTTAGTCCAGACAAGCATTTTGATTCCTGACCCTAAAAATATCCTTATGAATATTTCATATGCTCAGCTGTCCACGGCTGAAATCGCTAATGCCAAGATAAAAGGGACCATCGGCCAGAAAAAGCAGCCTCGGCTTCTCGGATCGCTTTGCAAAATCAATGCAGTCTCTCTAGGGGAGCAGGGGAAGGGGCAGCGCCGTGGAGGCTCGCCTTCGTTAATCTCGGTGCCACTCAGCGGCCCACACTGAATGGCTGCGGAATTGCATCCAGGCCCCAAACCCCCTGCCCTAAAGCTGGATCGGCAGCCCCAAAGAACACCCACGCTACACATTTGTGAGCAGGAGGCCCTCTCGCGCTGAGCATCCTTTAAGAAGTCAGTAGGTAAAGGTAAAGGGTTCCCCTTGACATTGAGTCCACTCGTGTCCGACTCGAGGGGGCAGCGCTCATCCCTGTTTCCAAGCCATAGAGCCAGTGTTTTGCCCGTAGACCGTTTCCGTGGTCACGTGGCCAGCGCGATTAGACACGGAACGCCGTGACCTTCCCACCGAGGTGGTACCTATTTATCGACTCGCATTTTTACATGCTTTCGAACTGCTAGGTTGAGGAGGAGCAGGGACAAAGCGACAGGAGCTCACTCTAATGCATGCATATGGGACAAGCGACGGGCGCTCACTCTGATGCATGCATACTATCCCATGACTGCTGGTCTTCTGACCCTGCAGCACAGAGGCTTCTGCGGTTTAACCCACAGTGCCACCACGTCCCTTCATCTCTTCCCCACAGCGCCACCACGTCCCTTCATCTCTTGCTTTACTCCTGAGCAATTCAGGACCCCAGAAAAGGCTCTGCTCTTCCTAGAAGGCACAGCCAAAAGACGGAGGAGTGGCTCCAAAAATATTATGGGATGTAACATCAGGGTCTCTTTCTGGCTCTGCCCTTTCTTCTACATCTCACTTTCAGTTGCTTATAAATCTCTTTCCCCCCCTCCTCCTGGTGATCTGTCAAGTCTGAGGGAAAAGGCAAAGGGGAAGAGCTAAAAGCAACAGGATTTGCACCCGGGGCCTCAAAGCACAAAGCTTGTGTGGCTTACAAGTTGCCAGTTGCTCTGCTGAGGCTAACTCATGCAAACCTACGAGGAGCATTTTTTCGGGGGGGGGGGGAGAGGATATCACGAGGCCCAGCTTGTGCCTGGCCCCTCAAACTTTGCAAGGCACCCTATCAAACCAGTTTTTCCCCATCACCTCTTTCACAGAATCGTAGGATCCATGAGTAGGAAGGGACCCATAAGGCCATCCAGTCCAACCCCCTGCTCAACGCAGGAATACAAATCAAAGCAGACCGGGCAGGTGGTTGTCCCATTTTATCTTGAATGCCTCCTGCATTGGAGCGCTCGCCACCTTCTGAGGTCATGGGTTCCACTGTCATACTTCTCCAACAATTGAGAAATTATTTCTGATATTAAGCCTAAATCTGGCTTCCTGTAGCTTCAGGCCATTCTTACATATCCTGCACTCTGGGATGATCGAGAACAGATCCTGCCCCTCTCCTCTGTCGGACTACCTTTCAAGGATTTGAAAAGTGCTGTCCTCGTTCCCAGAAGCCTTCTTTTCTAAGGCCAAGTTCTTTCGGTCTTTCCTCTTAGCTCTTGGTTTCCAGCCGCCTAATCTTCTTTGTTACCCTCCCGTGGGCTTGCTCTAGTTTGTTCGCATCCTCCTTATTTATTTATTTATGTATGTGTTTATTTATTTATTTATTTATTTAACTTATATGCCGCGTACTCTACCCAAAGGTCTCTGGGCGGCTTACAAGAATTAAAATTCAATTAAATACAATAAAAGATAAAATAATTAAAATAAAATTAAAATACAATTAAAATTGCCATCAGGACCCACAGTTGATGTTATTTCAATTAAAAGCCTTCTGGAACAGGAAGGTTTTGACCTGGCGCCGAAACGCCATCAACATCGGTGCCAGACGAATTACAGTCGGGAGAGCGTTCCATAGTCTGGGGGCAGCAGCCGAAAAGGCCCTTTGTCTACAAGCCATCCCTCTTACCTTCTTAAGAGACGGCTCTTCCAAAAGGGCCCCCTGGCTGGATCTTAACTGCCGGGTAGACTCATATGGAAGTGTAATGTCCAGAACCTGGCACAGGAACCGAGAAGAGGTGCTGAACAGAAGAAGACTAGTACCCCGTGGGATTTGGAGACTAGAGTTCTGTTTTTAGGCACAGCAGGGAGGGGGGCCGAGTTGCTCTCTCACCTTGCGAAGTCTAGGTCAGCTTCCCGGGACATGGTGATGTTGGTGAGGTTCTGCTGAAGGATAAAGATGTTCCGGCACATCTTCTTGATGCCAGATTCGCTGATACGTTTGAAGTACTGGGCCCCGTTGATGAGAATACAGGAAATCAAATGGCCCAACCCTGGAGGGAACAAGAAAGATGGCCCGCATTTCACATATGGGCAACCCATCAGGAAGAAAGCCCTCTCCTCTATATGTGTGTGTGTGTGTGTGTGTGTGTGTGTGTGTGTGAGAGAGAGAGAGAGAGAGAGAGAGAAAGAGAGAGAGAAAGAGAAGGTGGTAGGGGTCTCTCCAGGGATACATATGAAGCCTGTGGAGTTCACATTGCCCACTCCTGCAGTAATGTCTGCTTTTGCTCACAAAATGATATTCTTTGACTCCAAGCCCACCTCTATCCATCTGTTATCGCCCAACTGCTGGAGATCCACTGACCTTCAAAGATGTACTGGAACTTATTCTGCTGAAGGCTGGCGCTCATGGCCTCTTCAATGGCACTGATGTCCTTATTGAGCCTCACCACCAGGGGGTCATAGTCCATGCTCTCCACGTTGGCCACAATGGCATAGTTCCCTTGCTTAGCCAACGGGATCAGGTAGTGGAAACAGTGAACCCTGCCAAAAAAAAAAAAAAAAAAAAAAGCATGGCAGTGGGCCAGAATTTTCACACTACTAAGGCAGAGAAGGTAGTCAGTTGAGTTGTCAGTGACTGTAAGATTCCCCCCCCCCTCGATGAGGGTCTACAGAAACAAAGGCAGTTCCTGAGCACATGCAGAGCTCTGCACGGATGAGGACTGCTTTCTTCTCTTTTGTGACTAGAAGAAGAGGAAGGCTTCCTCTGTGCAGAGTGAGACCAACTCTCCAAGCATCTCCCAAGTCATGGAAGTCCACGTAGGCTCCAAAGGAGTCATTCCCAAGCCTGGTCCCTCTCAATGTTTTGGATGCCAACCCCTGGAAGCCCCAGCCAGCATAAACGGTGGTCAGGAATTCTGGGAATTGGAAGTCCAAAACATCTGTAGGACCAAAGGTCTGAACCCCCCCCCCCAAGATGTGAGTTGCACTCTGTCAATCTATGAGGTTGGGGGGGGGGACAAACACCATATTTTATGTTCAAGTTTTAAGATGTCAGTATTGTTCTTGGCATGAACTTGTTCGTCCACGTTAGGGAAAGATGCAAATCGGGGCTCAAAGGGAACCCGTACCATGTTTTTCTCTGAACACTCCAATTTTTGCATCTGAAAGTAGTTCTCTTATTTTATTTAAAGCTGGCAAGTATAAATGTTCATCTCAACAGCTAGGCAAAAAATGCTGCCTTGGTTATACATGAATGATTCCCCTTGTATGTACTTCTATATTTACTGCTATGGCACTTGTCACTTCCCAACTTCCAACCTCTATCAGCCTGTTTTCCTCTGTCCTCTGACACTCCTTCCATCTCTGACTAAATGTTCTGCGTCCAAATACTAACAGGTCTGGGGTTTGTTCAAAGAGGGGAAGTGAGTATCTTCCCCCCGAGTGAGACAGAGAGGTATAGGAAAAGCAACTCAAAATGTGGCTTGGGTTTCCTTCCCCACGCCTTCGTGGGAACGTCCGAAGCACATCTGAACCGAATCGTACAAAAGGCAAATTTAGTAAAGTGTGTCAATTACATACATTTATGCAAATGGGTCCGATTTCCATAATGCATTCCAATTGCAGATTATGGGGTATGTGGTTGCCTTGATTGCTTGAATGAGGAAGCTCTGAAGCAATGATTTAAAGCTGGGTGAAGAAATGGCAGAGACATGCTTGGAAAAAGCGGCAGCCACCCATCCTCGACGGAGGGACCAGATCCAGAAGCTGATGGCACGTTCTCCTTCCCAGGGTCTCTGCAGCCACTGGCTGGAGCCAGGGGAACAAGTGTGGTGGGCAGAGGGTCATACCACCAGGATTTCCACCTGGCTCAACCAATCCATGGATGGTGCATTGCTAGCCAATCACAGGAGCTGGTCTTGAGTAGCTCTCTTCCTTTCTCCGCCCAGGTCGGGCTCTGGTGCTTGGGTTCAACGATGTTGAGTAGTGCAGAAGATCACTTGCTGAGTTCTCTGTCTAGAAGTTCCCGGTACAACCCTGGGGGACCCCTGATGCTCCATTACTATGAGAACATACACAGAGATCCATTACAGAGAGCACACAGAGATCGTTCTTGGGCCCAGGGAATGGTGTGCAGCACGGTGGCTGAGAAAGGTGGCTGCTTAGCAGCACAACCCTAAGCCAACATGAATGGGATGATGATCCATTAGTCAACAAATGGAAGGCTGGAAACCCCAACACCAGCGCCCTCCTAATGATGCCCTTTCTCCCAGAAGCTCCCCAGATAAGGCATCCTTCAGTCTCAAGAGACTAGAATAACATGCTCTGTATGGAGGTCTTGGAACAGCATCTAATCTGGCTGAGGAGGCTAATTCAAGAGTGCCCATCCCTTCCATGCTGAAGAAAAATACAAACAGTCCCCTGTCGAGCTCCCTGATTTGGCTGCTTTCGGGACGGCCTCTTGGTCTCAGCCTGCTGGACAAGGGTCTCTTCAAATTGGGAGAGGCCGTGATGCAATGCCTACCTCCAGGCTGAACGCTCAGATGTCAAGATTTCCAATCTGTTGAGATCCATTCCTAAGGCCTTCAGATCTCGCTTGCAGATCTCCTTGTATCGCAGCTGTGGTCTCCCTCTGGGGCGATTTTCATGCACTAATTCTCCATACAAGAGATCTTTGGGAATCCGACCCTCAGCCATTCTCACGACGTGCCCGAGCCAACGTAGACATAGCTCCCCGGAAAACACACATAAACAGCCTGCCACACCAACATTAAGCCAGAGCTTAGGAAACTTTTTTTTCTGAACGATGACCCCCTCAGGGCCACGGGATCTAACAAAGGAACTCATCCATGTTCTGTATTAACTGTGGTTACTTTAACAAGGGTTTCCAGTGACCCTGGATCTGAAACGTCTAATGCCAGGTTCTGTTAACCAAGACTCTCCCTAACTTTAACCACAGTAAAGGGCAGAGGGGATGAACCAAGCAGGAAGGGGTGGGGGGCTGAATCTGGGAACAGGGAAAGAGCCAGCGCTTCCAGGACTGAGCAACAAGCCCCAAATTGCACCCAACCCGACCCAAAACGGTCGCATAGAAAACTGAACGAAATAAAAACTGTGAATTGCACTGGCACCCTGGAGGTCTCTCCCTGCCTCCCTGCCGACATGTTTGCACTGACCTTGACATAACATTGGCATTAAGGTTTTCGGAAAACATTGCTGATTGCTCAGCAGGAAGGCTGATTTTTTTGCAAAACGCATCTTCGGGCCTGTTGACTCTGATCCGTAGCTGGTGTCAAATCATTAAAAGCCCCCCTGAAGGGCAGAGGTTTTCTTTAACAAAACTGCTTGATCAAGGTGACATTCTCAAAACAAAATGACAACTTATTACTTTCCCTTTAAAGTTCAAAGGAGGGAATAATAAATAATAATAAAGATGTCATTGGGAGCAGCAGATGGCCGCTGACGAAAGGCTAGCTTTTCCACTTTGGGGGATATGCATGGATGAAGCCACAAAAGGAAGACTTCAATGAGCAGCAATTTGCTACTGCCAATGACATCATTCCCACTGGGCAGGCGGACTCCACCCGGCAGGATTCTGGCCAGTAGGTTCCCTTCCTGATGCTGTGTTCAATGGCACTTTGTGGTATCCGGTGAAGTTCAGGTGCTCCCACGTTCACTTTCAGAAACGGTCATAAACCTTGGCTAAGTCATGATGTGAGTTTTTATGTCTTGTATTCAAGGGCCACTCTCGGTTCGCTGTACTGCACGGCTTGCAGCCAGAACCAGTGAACTGGTGGTCTAGCACAGTAAATTAAGAGAGGCCACCTTCTGCCTAAATCACATGGTTCAGCTGTGAAACCACTCTGTGGCTCTCAGGGATCTCTCTGTAATGCCAGGATTAAGGGTGCCGGGCTACTTTATATGGCTGCTCTGTACAGTTTCACACAACTGTCATGTGACTGGAGACGAAAAATAAACATATTCAATTTTTGTGGAGGTACCTTGGTTCACACCTCCTGAAACCGGCAACAAGTTGAAGTCCATCTTTCCTTAGAAATCAGAAGGTTTCCAAAGGGTGCAGGGCATTGTGGAAGAAAATATGCAGAAACCCAGGTGTGGATTTGAAAAACACAGTTAATGTATGTTTGCCACAATACTTTTGTTTATGTTCTCTTTTTGCTGATTGAAAGAAAGGATGGGAGATCCGGGAAGGATGCAAAATGGCCACAAGTATGATACAATCGTGTCTACGTGGCCAGTCATTCGGCTTACCTGACTTCCAGGTGTAGAACCAGCAGGCAGCGGTCCGCCATGTCCTGGAAAGATCGGGCCAGCTCCGTCAGGGTTTGCACGATCTGCTCGGACACTGGTGGGAGATCTGCATTAGCATGCCCTTCTTGGCCAGGGGACACTACGGAGACAAAAGATAAAAGAAGAAGGCAATTAGCACTTGGAAATACGGGCCATCCCAGGTGGCGCCTGCAGACATAGGTAGAAGAAGTTACACATTTGTTAAAATCTTCAATGACATGATGATTCTAAGCCCCGCAGGTGCTGACTACGCTTCCCACAAGAGCATTCCAAAATCCTTCTCTAGCCCTGGTGATGCAGCTGTCAAATGTAGTCCAAGAGAGTAATTATAGGTAGCCAGCGGTCTTGGGGGGAACCAGCCAAGTGCATTGGGCCAAGGCGACAGTGTGTCTGAAGTGATGGTCTTCTGGACTGTTTCATTTACCCAGCAGGTAAATGGTTTCCATGCATTCTACAGCATCTCTTCCACAGTTTACACATGTTAGAGAGCAGAACCTCTTGGATGCATCCGGGCAGGGATGGAAGAAACCACCTCTTGATGTGCAAAGGGAGCAGGAGATAGGTTCAGGTACCAGTATTTGCCCCCATTACTTTCTGCTCACTGCAAACCAGGACTAACAGAAGTCCACTTCACGTTTTTTGGGGGGGGAAACTAATGTCAAATGGTGCAAAGGAAGGCTCTAATCTGTTAAAAAAATTGTTCCCCTGATCCAGATCGCTTCCTGGGTTTGTATTTCAACTTTTGGGAGGGACGGGCAAGATAACAGAAGGGAATGTGTGTGGGGGGGCACTGTGGGTCACAACAATACTGTTGAGGAGATTGGATGTGACGCCTTCTGTCACCACTCCCATGTTAAGGGACCAGGAGGAAAAAACACAACAGGTTCACCTACAAAGTGCCTTGTAATTAGCCAGTCACCTGGTTCCCTAGGTCAAACAAGGATCACGGCTAGAGCCCTGTCCAGGAAGGTGGTGTTATCATGGTTGTGTTCCCTCTTTCAATGCACTCCTCTATCAGTTTGTTATGCTGCTGGAGCAGGAGAGCAGGCAAACCCATCAGAAAGGTGGTGCTAGCCTGACTTCATAAGTTGTATTTGCAATGGAGTTGCTTTTTACACACACACAGAGAGAGAGAGAGAGAGAGAGTGTACAGTGGATATAAAAGTTTACACACCCTTGTTAAAATGTCAAGTGTCTGTGATGTTAAAAAAATGAGACAGAGATAAATCATTTCAGAACTTTTCCCACCTTTAATGAGACCTATGAACTGTCCAACTCAGTTGAACAACCAACTGAAATCTTTTAGGGGGAGGGAAGTAAAAAATTTTTTAAAAATTATATCCACTGTATATATATGTGTGTGGAAATCTTTTAGGGGGAGGGAAGTAAAAATGTTTTAAAAAATTATATCCACTGTATATATATGTGTACTGTAAGTTATAATGTAACAGTGCATTTTATTTACTGTAAGCATTGCTAGAAGAAGGATAGTGTTGTGATTTAGAAACAACAACATCGAGCCTATGGCAAGGTTAGTTTATGGACCTCTCCGAGTTTATTAACGTTTACAATTTAAAAGGAAAACAAACCCAGGAGGGAATAGCAAACAGAACAATCCATGGTGTACAATGCATGGTGTGCGTGTGTGTGTGTGTGTGTGTGTGTGTGTGTGTGTGTGTGTGTGTGTGTGTGTGTTTGTGTGTGTGTTTTTGTGTGTGTGTGGGTGAGAGAGAATTAGCTACTTCAGAAGCATCTCATGGAAATACTAAGACAAAGAAGCAGAAATCAAGGATGGCAGGAGGCCTCTGTTTTGTTCTTTACGCAGCTGAGCCTTTACACACACACACACACACACACACACACACACCGCCTGCTTCTTCCTCCTATGCAAAGCGACATCAGTTCTTCTTCCCCAGCTAGACGGTAACTTGAGACGTTTGGGTTCGTTCGTGGCACGGACGGAGAACCTGCGGCTGTCGAGATGCCACCAGCCTGCTTCCAAGTCATGACTGACCCTACGAATCACGGATCTCTGCAGGATCCTATCATTAGCATCGCTGCTCATGCCTTGTAAAGCCAAGGCTGTGGTTCCTTCCTGGAGCCAATCCTTCCCATGCCAAGTCTTCCTCTTGTCCTACTGCCTTTCGTAAGAAACATCCTGCCCGCAGGCCAGGCTGGCCGAAGTTCTAACGGCACTCCTGAACTCCAGATGTTTCAATGGCACACTTTCCTATCAGTGCTGAGAGGCGTTCAAGGATAAGGAATTTCCCCCACAAACACGCCTGATTCGAAGCACTTAATCTGATTTCTAGCCCCACAGCCACCGCAGAACAGTCAAACTTGGAAGACTTCATAAACGTCTAATCTCAAGGGTTGCTTCCAGGAAGCCTGGTCAACTAACTGCATGAAGTGGGAGAGCGGGGGAGGGGGTTTCTTCTGGGCCCTTCCTGCCACCACCCCCACCCCAATTTTAGTTTCTGGTGATGCTACAGAGCTACAGCTCCTGGACCTGCTCTGGACACCACCCAATCCAGGATAAGGATGACTGTCCTTTCAGATGCCAGTGGGTATAGGAGAATGAGATCGGTTTCCTCCACATTAATTTCAGACTGGATTTCACCAGGCTTTTGCCAGGTGTGCTTTAACCATCCCCAAAGGGGATAACGTGGCTCAGTTATACTACAAGGGAGAAGGATCTTGGAATTTTTGTAGATCAAATGTTGAATATGAGCCAACGGTATGATGTGGCTGCCAAAAAAAAAAAAAAGTGATTCTATGACGCATTAACAAAAGTCTAGGTTCCAAATCCCTTGAAGTGGTCCTCCCCCTCTATCAAAAAAAAAAAAAAAAAAAAAAAGAAGTAATTCTCCGATGCATTCACAAAAGTCTAGGCTCCAAATCCCTTGAAGTGCTCCTGCCCCTCTATTCAGCACTGGTTAGGCTTCCCCTTGAGGATTGTGTGTCCAGTTCTGGACATTGCACTTCAAGAAGGATGTCAACAAACTGGAACACGTTCAGAGTGGGGGCAACAAGGATAATCGGGGGACTGGAAACCGAGCCCTAGGATGAATGACTCGAACGGAAACCAAGCCCTAGGATGAAAGACTGAACGAACCGGGGATGTTTAGCCTTGAGAAAAGGAAACCCAGAGAGACAGGGTCGCACTTTTCAAACACTTGAAAGGCAGTCCAACAGAAGAGGCGCAGGATCATCCCAGACTGCAGGACACGTAGCCATCAGCTCAAGCGACAGGAAGCCAGATTTAGGTTGCAAATCAGGAAAAAAAGCTTCCTAATTGTTAGAGTAGTAAGACAACGGAACCGATGACCTCGGGAGGTGGTGAGGGCTCCAACACTGGAGACGTTCCAAGAGAAAATTGGGCAACCCTCTGTCAGAACTGCTTTGATTTGGATTCCTGCCATGGGCAGGGGGTCGGGCTCGATGGGCTTCTAGGCTCCTTCCGGGATTCCTGCAATGGGCAGGGGGTCGGACTCGATGGGCTTCTAGGCTCCTTCCAACTCAACTATTCTACAATTCTAAAGCAGCACCGCATTGCAGGAGAGTTCTTTTCTTCTTTTGGATTATAAGAGCTGCTGGAGCCTCCCCAGGCAGCAGGGGCATTGCTCATGCACACACTGGGGAGGGGCGTGTGTGTGTGTGTCTGAAACTGTGGTCCCCCTCACTCAGAAACATATCCAAGGTCTGGGGAGATGCTGCCCAGGCACCTACCAGTCTGTAGGTGTTGTGTGTGTGTGTGTGTGTCTGAAACTGCGGTCCCCCTGACTCAGAAACATATCCAAGGGCTGGGGAGATGCCACCCAGGCACCTACCAGTCTGTGGTACTTATTAGTTACTGCCAGTGCATCACACAGCTTTCTTTTGTTACCATGAAGGCTAGAAGCTTGCCCTCTGCACACATGGACATCCAAGGACGAAGGATTTTGGAGACCCATGCTTGTTTCCATTATTAAGGCTATACTGCATGCGTGACGAGAGGCATTTCTGATCATCCAGGGTTCCCACGTAGCCACAGGTGTTGCGGTCATCCAGTTTATTTAACAAGACTGATTTGGGAGGTGTGTCTTAAGTCAATGAACATTTCTTTCATGACGGCTCGAAATGCTTTTACAATAACTTCTCCCGACAAACAAAGGAGTAATTCATTCTGGCAAAGTGAAGAAGGGGAGAAAAAATTAAGTCATTTGCGCCAGTTGTCACCAGAGATTTCAATCATCTCGTTACTTGCAAGCACGGCGGCAGCACCTCTCGAGTGTGCCTTGGAAATCAATGGATGCAAATGACGCGACCTCAGCCACGGAGCGCCACTCGCAGGGCTAGCGGCGCACCGAGCGACGTGGCCAATCAAGGCCCATTGTGGAAAAATGGCAGACCAGTTCTTGATTGCACAGAACGCCGGAGAAGGTTTCGGAGCGGTGCAATCGCAGTGGGAAAAGAAAATCAATGTGGGGTTTCAGGTGCCAGCTTCGCCGCAGTGCAACGTGACCTCGGCAGGCTCTTGAAAGTGTAACGTGGAGTTCAATTGATCCTTTGGTCCCCCCCCCCGAAATAATTTTGGGAATTCGTTAACAACAAAAGGAGAGGGCAGTTGTACTTTTCGCAGAGAGCGGTCCAAGATCGAACATGTTGGCAGAGCCATATTCATATAATATTCTGGTGGCTTGCCTATTGCGCCCGGATTCTGCTGCCTCCCCTTTAAGGCTTCCTTTTTCTGCTGGAGAGACACGTCACTATTTGCGCTCAGCAACTTCTGGACAGGCTCTGGGGCACAGATTTCAACCACATTCTTGACTTCAGGAACCACAACCTTCAGTTCGCAAGACCTGAGCAGGACTGCTAATGAGAAAGACTTTCTGCAGACCATTTGTTCATAGAGGCTCTCAAGGCTGGAAGTGATCTGAAGGCACAAAGCAAGAACAGCATCCAAAGAGAGAGAGAAAGAGAGAGAGAGGAAAAGAGGACTTGGGGGGAGGGGAAAGAATGGGCATAAAGGTGGAGTTCAACTGATCCTTTGGTCCCCCCCCCCGAAATAATTTTGGGAATTCGTTAACAACAAAAGGAGAGGGCAGTTGTACTTTTTGC